GTGCTCCATATCATTTGTTCTTTATTGTTTTATAACACTTCAATTGCACTTGCCATGGGGATACCTAATGGTATATCTGTCATCCTATATTACAAACTGTCTCTAGGTAAGAACATTCTAAAAACCCCACAGCTGGCAAGAAGCCTGCTATCTTGAGAAATCAGCAAAGTATCAATCTGAACAAACCATCTTTAACATGTGATATGGTTTGGCTCTGTGTTCCCACCCAAATCACATCTCAAATTGTACTCCCATAATTCCCATGTGTTGTGGGAGGGACTCAGTGGGAGATAACTGAATCATGGGGCGGTTTCTCCCATACTGCTCTCAGTAGTGAATAAGTCTCATAAAATCTAATGGCATTTTAAGGGGAAACCCCTTTTGCTAGGCTCTTATTCTCTTCTCTTTCCTGCCACCAGGTAAGACGTGCCTTCACCTTCTGCCATGATTGTGAGGCCTCCCCAGCCATGTGGAACTGTAAGTCCATTAAACTTCTTTCTTTTGTAAATTGCCCAGTCTTAGGTATGTCTTTAGCAGCAGTGTAAAAATGAACTAATACAACAGGCTCCCTGGTCTCCCACCTTCTCGGACTAAGTCCTCTGCAGTGCTGACTCCATGTTCTATGAGCTTCTGGCAGTCATCTAGTGGTTTAATGGTCTCCTGTTCAATGGTGTCCACCTCTTGCAAAAGGGTCACCAATCGCTCATCCAGGAGCTTCCCAAGGGTTCCCTTTAAATCATTAAAATGCTGTTTGAGAACATCCCTTGTCTGTGATGCACTCTCTTTGATCTAAAAAGAAATAACAAAATACTCAAAATCAGAATCTCTAAAAAAGGCTAAGCCATAGGGGTGATTCACAGTAATCTAAAAGCACCGAATATAACTATCATCTTCAATTTATTAAAAAAAAAATAATTGAAATTATATAAATTTAAGGTGTGATGTTTTGATATACATATACATAGTGAACTGTTATTATAGTCAAGCTAATTAACATGTCCGTCTCTTCACATTGTTACCTTTGTGTGTGGTGAGAACACTTAAGATCTCTCCTAACACATTCCAAGTATACACTACAGTATTGTTAACTATTGTCCCCATCCTGTACTTGAGATCTCTAGAATTTACTCCTCTTAAATAACTGAAACTTTGTACCCTTTGGCCAACATCTCCTCATCCCCAACTCCATCCCTGGCAAGCACCATTCTATTTTCTGCTTCTATGATTTCGACCTTTTTTTTTTTGAGACGGAGTTTCACTCTTGTTACCCAGGCTAGAGTGCAATGGTGTGATCCTGGCCCACTGCAACCTCCTCCTCCTGGGTTCAAGCAATTCTCCTGCCTCAGCCTCCAGAGTAGCTGGGACTACAGGCGTGCGCCACCATGACCAGCTAATTTTTTTGTATTTTGAGTAAAGACGGCGTTTTACCATGTTGACCAGGATGGTCTCGATCTCTCGACCTCGTGATCCACCCGCCTCAGTCTCCCAAAGTGCTGGGATTATAGGCGTGAGCCACTGCGCACGGCCGATTTTGACCTTTTTTAGATGCTACATATAAATGAGACCATGCAGTATTTTTATTTCTGTATCTGGCTTATTTCACTTAGAGTAATGTCCTTCAGGTTCATCCATGCTGTCACAAATAACAGAATTTCCTTCTCTTTTAAGGTTGAATACTATTCCATTGTATATACACATCTTCCATTCATTGATAAACCAAATGTGATTCATTTGCATAAACAGGCAGAAGTACACAAAGTTGGCCTTCAAGTCAGATAGAATAAGCCAAATCTTGGTTTCATCATTCGCAAACTATGTCAATTTGGTTAAGTTAATTAAGTTTTCCATGCTTCAATTTCCTTATTTGTCAAATGAGCATTATAATAGTTACTTTGGCCAGGCACGGTGCCTCCCTCATGTAATCCCAGCACTTTGGGAGGCCGAGGTTGGCAGATCATTTGAGGTCAGGAGTTCGAGACCAGCCTGGCCAACATAGGGAAATCCCATCTCTACTAAAAATACAAAAATTAGCTGGACATGGTAGGGTGGGCCTGTAATCCCAGCTACTTGGGAGGCTGAGGCAGGAGAATTGCTTGAAACCGGGAGGTGGAGGTTGCAGTGAGCCGAGATTGCACCACTGCATTCCAGTTGGGCGACCGAGACTCCATCTCAAAAAAGAAATAAATAGGCTGGACGCAATGGCTTACGCCTGTAATCCCAGCACTTTGGAAAGCTGAGGCGTGTGGATCGCGAGGTCAGGAGATTAAGACCATCTGGGCCAACATGGTGAAACCCTGTTCTACTAAAAATACAAAAAAATTAGCTGTGTGTGGTGGCACACGCCTGTAGTCCCAGCTACTTGGGAGGCTGAGGCAGAAGAAATGCTTGAACCCAGGAGGCGGAGATTGCAGTGAGCCGAGATCGTGCCACTCCAGATGGGTGACAGTGCGAGACTCTGTTTCAATTAACAAAAAAAAAAATAGAAAGAAATAATAGTTACCTCATGGAGTTGCTTTGAGGATAAATTAAAATAATCTATGTACTACAGTGGGTAAAATAAATGGCACATTGTTGTACTTGATAAACAAATGGTATAAATTATTATCTGTACAAAGTAGTTCTTGAAAATTGTATGTTTCAATACTAAAAATTGTTTAATTATGAGAGGATTAAAACACATTTGACTGAAAAACAGCAAAGAAATGGTAGATTAGAAAGCCATGGTCAGGGCAAGGCAAGGTAGCTCACGCCTGTAATCCTAGCACTTTGGGAAGCCAAGGCAGGTAGATCACCTGAGGTCAGGTGTTCAATACCAGCCTGGCTAACATGGTGAAACCCTATCTCCACTAAAAATGCAAAAATTAGCTAGGTGTGGTGGCAGGCTCCAGTAAATCCCAGCTACTCAGGAGGCTGAGGTAGAATTGCTTGAACCCAGGAGATGAAGGTTGCAGTGAACCGAGATCGC